GGACAGCTTTGTACGTCAGTGTTAGCATTTTGAATTTGATCCGTTGGGCAATCGGAAGCCAGTGGTGGGATTGGCAGAGGGGGGTGGCGGAAACAGAGCGGTTGGTAAGGTGGATGAGTCTGGCCGCAGTATTCAGGATCGACTGAAGCGGGGATAGCCTGTGGTGAGGTAGGCCAGTGAGGAGGGAGTTGCAGTAGTCAAGTTGTGATATAATAAAGAGAGTGAATGAGTTGCTTAGTAGTTTCTGGGGTTAGGAACAGACATATTTTGGAGATGTTGCGGAGGTGGAGTCTACATGAGTTTGTCAGCGATTGGACCTGGGGCTGGAAGGACAGATTGGAGTCTAGGATGACACCAAGTACTCTGGCTTGCGGGGTGGGACTGACGGTGGCATTGTTGGTCGTGATGGAGAAGTCAAGGGGGGTGGGCGGGGGGGGGGAAAACTAGGAGCTCGGTTTTGAAAAGGTTCAGTTTGAGGAAGTGGAGTGACATCCAATCCGATATGTCGTTCAGTAGGCTAGTGATTAGGGCAGAGACTGAAGGGGTGAGACGAGGCGTAGAGAGATAGATTTGCGTGTCGTCGGCATAGAGATGGTAGTTGAAGCCTTGAGAGTGTATCAGTTGGCCAAGGTAAGAGATGTAGATGGAGAAGAGAAGGGGCCTGAGGACAGAGCCTTGAGGGACCCCCAACAGAGAGGGGGAGTGAGGGGGAGGTGGTAGCGTTATAGGTAACACTGAAGGAGCATTGTGATAGATAGGAAGAGAGCCAGGAGAGAACGGATATATTCCAGATGAAGTCTTACTAATGATTTGTACAGAAGTAAAACAACATCTCTCTCTCTGAAATATATACCTCTTTTCATGCAAGAGAGGATTTTGCTTGCTTTAGAAACTGCAGCTTGGCATTGCATGCCATTATTAAGCTTATGATCTACCAGAACTCCCAGATCCTTCTCCACCATTGATTCCTCAGTTGTACCCCCCTTAGTATGTATGATGCATGCATATTCTTAGCCCCCAAGTGCATAATCTTACATTTTTCAACATTAAACCTCACTTGCCACATAGTTGCCCAATTAAACAGTGCATTGAGGTCGGCTTGTAAGTTGGAGACATCCTGTAAGGATGTTATTCCACTGCACAGCTTGGTGTCATCTGCAAAGACTGAAACTGCATTTTCAATCCCAGACCCTATATCATTTATAAATTTATTAAAATGTAAGGGTCCCAACACTGAACCTTGGGGTACACCACTGACAACCCTAGACCATTCAGAGTATGAATCATTAACCACTACTCTCTGAATATGATCTTTTATCCAGTTTTTTATCCATTTACATACTAATTTTTACAAGTCGGTAGACATTACCTTACACATTAGCTGTATGTGGGGAACTGTGTCAAACACAAGTATACCACATCCACCGCCACCCCTTTCTCCAAGGTTTTGCTCACCTCTTCATAAAAAGAAATCAGATTTGTTTGACAACTTCTGTCTTTTCATGAATCCATGCTGTCTGTTGCTTAAAATATTTTTTTGCATCAAGAACTCATCTATGTGGTCTTTTATTAAATCCCAACTATAGATGTTAAACTAGCAAGTCAGTAATTACTTGGAAAAGATTTTGATCCCTTTTTAAATATAGGCACCACATTGGCCTTACCCAATCTAGTGGTACTATGCATCAATAGTATGTGTCAATACCTTGCCTATTATGGACAAAAGCTCCGTCATGCTCCTTTGTATACACAGAGCTGAGGAGGATATTTAATAAATTTGCCTTTTCTTTGTCACCCACTCTAAATGATTTTGTAAAGGGCCTACATGCTCGGACCGGACCTTTTTACTATTAATATATCTGAAGATATCTTTTGCAATCTATCATTCGTTTTCAATTTTTGCGACCTTGATTTCATTTTTAAATAATCTGTTATATTCTTTGTATTGTTTAAATGATGATAGCATTCCTTCATTTTTATATTTAATAAAAGCTCTTTTCTTATTATCTATAGCTTTTTTAACTTTGGCCGTAAGCCACAAAGGTTTGATTTTTAGCCTTTTAAACTTGTTGCCCATGGGAATATATTTTGCAGTGTGTTCACATAGTCTTTTTTAATAACTCCCATTTCTGTGTTGTGTTCATCGATGCCAATATTCCCTCCCAGAATAAGTTTTGGAGAGCAGCTCACAGCCTTGGAAAATTAGCTCTCTTAAAGTCATTTTTCTTTTTTCTGTATGGGCTTGTTCTATACAGCTAACAATAAATTAAATCATGTTATGGTCATGTTATGAGTTATTCTACAGGATTTCAATATAAGGAGTCTCCATGAGAAATCTTCCAGTGGTGACACTTTTTGCAGTATAAACTGTCTTAGAGGGCATTTCCTTCACTTGGTAGAGTTTTTTTTCTTTTGTTGTCTACATGGCAGGAAAAGAAACCTCCCCAATGGAATGTAGATTAAAAAGACCCTAAAAAACTAAACTAACCATTCCATACTCTATCCAAAATGATAACAAAACAGTTTAGTTTTAGGTATACTTTATTATTATACTTTATTTGGTGATGCTTTGACATCAATCATTTTGTTTTCTTTTTTGTGAAGACACGTAAAGATCCAAAAAAGGTCCATGACAGTACAAGAAACACAATGGGGTTGATTTACTAAAACTAGGGTGTGCAAAATCTGGTGCAGCTGTGCACAGAAATCAATCAGCTTCCAGGTTTCTTTATTAAAGCTCAATTGAACAACAAGCTGAAGTTAGAAGCTGATTGGCTACCTTGCACAGCTGCACCAGATTTTGTACTGCTCAGTTTTAGTAAATCAAAGCCAATGGAGGGCTATTCCTGCTTTTTTTTATCAAGAAATCCTATTATAACCACAGAAAAAAATTAAAATTTTAATATAATAGTTTGTGTCAGCTGCATTTGCTACAAAATGGATCAAGAACCCTGTCAGTATAAAAGGCCTTGAGGATTTAACATGATTTGCTCATCAGAGCCAGGGACCTACTGAGTTGTAAAGCAAGGGGATGACATTTCAGGAACTTGAAGTCTTTAAAACAAATTTTCATTACCAGTTTCCCTTAAAACCCTTAGTTATATTACTTCAAAATATTTCTTAAATACAATCTCCAGAGTAAGATCGCAATTATAATTCAAACATTATACTTTCATTTTATTTCCTTGTATTAGCACATCGTATTTGTATTCCAAAGCCGAATTGAAAATGAATAATAATCAGAGAATAATAAAAATGAACATTTCCTTAATATCCTTGGAGAATTTCTTAAGGTTAAAGGAAAAATCCATCTGAGATAAAGGAAATCTGCTGTTCTACAGAAAAGATGGATGACCTGATAACCTTTTCTTGATGTATGATGATATATATTATTAAATCATAAACTCTTTTTTTAATTAATGTTTTTGAAAGTACTGCAAACTCCTTCCACTTTTTTAAAAAAATAGTTTTTTTTACAACTGATGTCATTTTTCCTGGTTAAAATTAAATGAATGTAGTTGGCTTAGATATAGCTGAACAAGATTCCCTATTGCTCAAGATTTTGATTTATTTCAGCAATATGTTTTTTTTCTTTCCCCTATATAGGTGAAAATTGGGTTATTTCACAAAGCACTTACAGTGAATGGTGGTTTGTGTTAAATGCTTTGAATTGCAATGATCAGCAAATATTTCTTTATCTATATTCCTCTATTATCCTAATATATGTATATTTATTTGTAGGGATGGGAAAATCTGACCATGTCAATTTGACAAAGGTTCAATGTGCACTGTTTGAAGCTTGGCAAACCCAAAATTTACAGTGAATCCGGATAAAGCCTATTGGGGGAGGGCAAATCCTGGTATTAAATTCAGGCTATTTTTAAGGCTACAAAACAGACCAACCAATAGAAAGGAAAGACTGTTGATCTAGAGACCAGAGTAAATTGAGTCTCTGGGGTATGAATCCACTAGAGAGTTAATTACATATTTATAAACAGAAAATACTTTATTGAAAGATAAATATATCACAATAATATAATACAAAAACAAAATCAAGCAGCACACTACCTGTCCCCACTATTAAAAAAGACAACGTTAACTTACACATATACAGGCGCCTGAATGCATGCACACACACACTCATACATATAGGCAAGCCTAAATGTAAACATCAAAAATTATGAATTATTAAATAAGCCAAATGTAATAGGCTAAGTCAAGACAATTGTAAGGTTCCCGACTGACATGAATTTTTAACCCAAGGAGCACTCCAGTATAGCGGCACTACCAATTCTCAGTTGATCAGGTAGTGAAGGTATAAAATATCTCACAGCATGCAAGAAATAGGGACAGCATGGAGCAGCGGATAATGTTGAATCACCATAGAGATCAGTTAATTCAGGATAGTGCAGTGACAGCAGTCACACAGGCAAGGAGCTAAGTATAAGCATCAAAAAGTAAGCAAAGCAGCATATCTGCTTTTCTCACATTATTCAAGTCATCAAGTAATGCAGCAAGGAGGAAAGGAGCATTATGGACAGGTTAAAATGGGTGAGCAGAGTAGCAGTATTATGAATTCTCAGCACGCCATGCCTCTGTCTTCACCCAGATCATGCAGGATACCACTGGTAGTGTACTGACAACCACAGCATAAGAAAGTCCCCAGGAGAGGCAGCTGGCAGACTCACCCACATGTGCTGACAGACACTGCTCTGAAGTTGTCCTCTTTACTCCCCAATGAGGCTGGCTATGGAATACGCTGCTAGAGAGCACGTTGTTCCAAGTTATTCACTTCCTGTGCTCATGTCAGGTAGGAAGAGTATCATCCAGTGCTGCATGATATAAGGCGCCCGTGCCAGAATTGTATTATTGAGATATTTATCTTTCAATAAAGTTTTTTGTGTTTATAAATATGCAACTCTAGTGGATTCATACTCTGGAGGCTTATTTTGCCCTGGTCTCTTGACCAACAGTCTTTCCTTTCTATTGGTTGGTCTGTTTTGTATGCTTTACTGCAGGGGCGGACTGACCATTTAGAAACTCGGGCACAGCCCGAGGGCCCTTGGCCAGTAGGGGGCCCCATGAGATGCCCCTGGTACCTTTTCATAGGCTTTTTTGAGTTTGGGCAAGGACACAGGGGCCCCATGATCCCCTATTGCCCGGGGGCCCTATGAGTTGTCAGTCCACCCCTGCTTTACTAACACAGTATAGCAAGTGGGTACCCAAGAGGGGGGTTGTGCCCTTTAAATTGTGTTAGCCCTTACTTTGATTTTTTTGTATTATTTTTAGGGCTAACTGGCAAGATTTTATCAATAAAAAGGCATTAGAAGATGGGCACTGCTATGGGGGACATGTACCAATGCAAAAAAAAAAAAACACAGAGTGGGGGAAGTGTGTTTTTATGCGTCTTCAATGAAAATATTGAAAATATACAAAACCTTTAAATAGGGACCTTGGGGATGCCTTAAAGTTGCATGCATATGGGGTTAGGGAGTTAGATTTTTTTAGACAATCTAAGTGTACACTGGCAGCACATATCTAACTGCAGAATTGCTTTTGTCTTCTACTATTCGCTTGATCTGTATACAGCAACAGCACCAAAATATAGTTCATTTCCATTCCGGTAGTTTTTATCAGTGGTATATACTTTTTTTATTGAATGGTGATGGGCCAGCTTTGACTGGCATATAACATTTTTCCAGCAGCTCGTTGAAGCTGTCCCTGGTTTTCCTGATGTAAAACTGACTTGACACAGTTCTGGACAATTTCTAGTAAAAATAAGATACTGCACATGATATAGCAGTGTAAAATTGACTAGCAGCAGATCCATTTTAAATAGCATGGCTAGGCCCAAATTTACTAGCAACAAGGAGCACGGGCTGGGGCTTTACTACAGAAATTAAGATACAACATAGGATACAGCAATGTGAAACTGACCAGCAGCATCACAGTTTTAAATATGACTAATACAGCTAACTGGTGTAGGCCTAAATTTTATTTTAGTTATGGGGGTAGGGGGTGTGTTAAATGGAAATTATATAATTTGAATTGGCTTAGATACACACTGTTCTTCCACTTTCCCATCTAATTATGTAGGGGGATGCTCTGAAAAAAGGCCCTTTCACTGCCAGAGCCGTTTGTTTGCACACATGTTTAAAAAATAATTTTAGCCCAGAAGATTACATAAACCCCCAAACATCATATATTTTCTGAAAGCAGACACCTTAAAAATAAAATGGTGGTACTTTTGATTTTTTATGTTACATACTATTAGTGCAATGGTTCAGAAAATGAAAGATTTCAGAAAAAAAAACTAAGGTTTTCAAGGAATCAAAGTTCATTTTAATTATGTGCCCTTGAAATGTGAGCAAACTTCACTAACCTATATTCTCCATAGACAAAGCTTTCAAAGCCCCTACAGGTCATTAATTTACAAAACGGCCCAAATATTATGTCATTAACATGTTCTTGTTATACAGATGCATCTCAATAAATTAGAATATCATCAAAAAGGTAATTTATTTCAGTAATTCAATGCAAAAAGTGGAAATCATATATTATATAGATTCCTTACACATAGAGTGATATATTTCAAGCATCTTTCTTTTAATTTTCATGATTATGGCTTACAACTAGTGAAAACCCAAAATTCAGTATCTCAGAAAATTGGAAATATTGTGACAAAAGTTTAATGTTGTAGACTCATGGGGGTTTATTTACTAAAGCTGGAGAGTCCAAAATCAGACTCCCTTCTGCATAGAAACCAATCAGCTTCTAACCTCAGCTTGTTCAATGAAGCTTTGGCAATGAAACCTGGAAGCTGATTGGTTTCTATGCAGAAGGGAGTCTGATTTTGGACTCTCTAGCTTTAGTAAATAAACCCTATGTGTCACAATCTAATCAGCTAATTAACTGAAAACACCTGTAAAGGTTTCCTGAGCCTTTAATTGGTCTCTCAGTCTGATTCAGTAGGTTACACAATCACGGGGAAGACTGGTGTGCAGAAGACAGTTATTGACACCCTCCATAAGGAGGGTAAGTCACAAAAGGTCATTGCTAAAAAAGCTGGATGTTCACAGAGTGCTGTATCCAAGCATATTAATGGAAAGTTGAGTGGAAGGAAAAGATGTGGTAGAAAAAGGTGCACAAGGAACAGGGATAACCACAGCCTTGAGAGGATTGTGAAGCAAAGGCCTTTCAAGAATTTAGGGGAGATTCACAAGGAGTGGACTATGGCTGGTGTCAATGCTTCAAGAGCCAGCCCACACAGACATATCCAGGTGTCAGGGATCCCCGCGGCGCTGGTCCCGGCGCAGGCGCAGTGCGCCGCTCTCTGCAGGGACGCGGGCACCAGTTCCTGGCTGACCGCGGCATGCAGGTTGCGCATGCGCAGTAGGAACCGCGGTCGCGCGCTGGGCACCAATGACAGCGCAGGGCGTGATATTTAAACGGCCCTGAACTGTCATTCAGTGCTTTCTGGTCTCTTCTGCATACCTGTACCTGTGATCCTGTTTCCTGTAAGTTGCTGACCCGGATTGGACCTGACCCTTGCTGTATTCTCCCACTCTAACCCCTGGCTTGCCTGACCTCTCTCCTGGATGCCCCTTACTAGATCCTGACCTCCTGTTGCTGACCTGGCGTGTGACCCGACTACTCTCTGCCCGCCGCTTTGTACCGCACCGACCCCACTGTTACCAACCTAACCCACCCCACAACCTCCGAACCCACCCACACCCCACACCCCTGCACAAAAATCGTTTTGTGTATTTCTGCACTCCTGACCCGGCTTTGTACTGCCTTCTTGTCTCGAACCTGCTCATCCATCCATCCATCCATCCCACCGGGGTCTCCCGACCTCCTCACATCAGGCTCTTCCCCGTGGGAGCCCCTGGCGATTACCCCTACCACTGACAGGCGTACTCAGGAGCCACGACCTGGTCTCAGGGTACTCCAAGTCCATCCCCACCATCAGGGGCTCTGGTGAACAAGTCCCCTGGGGCTCACTGGTGAACAAGTACCCTGGGGCTTAGACTCCGTGCCCTGGGAGCGCCTAATCAGTGGAGCGCTAGTGGTACCGCCAGGCGGTCCCTTACACCAGGACATGGTCTACAACTGTTGCATTCACTTGTGTCAAGCCTCTCCTGAACCAGAGACAACATCAGAAGAGTCTGACATGGGATAAGGAGAAAAAGGACTGGACTGTTGCTCAGTGGTCCAAAGTCTTCTTTTGCATTTCATTTGGAAATCAAGGTCCCAGATTCTGGAGAAAAAGTGGAGAGGCACAGAATCCAAGTTGCATGAGGTCCAGTGTGAAGTTTCTACAGTCAGTGATGATTTGGGGAGCCATGTCATCTGCTGGTGTTGGTCCACTGTGTTTTATCAAGTTCAAAGTCAGCATAGTCCTTTACCAGGAAATTCTACAGCACTTCATGCTTCCCTCTGTTGACCAGCTTTATGGAGAAGCTGATTTAATTTTCCAGCAGGACTTGGCACCTGCCCACACTGCCAAAAGTACCAATATCTGGTTTAATGATCATGGTATCACTGTGCTTGATTGGCCAGAAAACTCACCTGACCTAAACCCCATTGAGAATCTGTGGGGTATTGTCAAGAGGAAGATGACATGTACCAGACCCAACAATGCAGATGATCTGAAGGCCGTTATCAAAACAACTTGGGCTTCCATAACACCTCAGCAGTGCCACAGGCTGATCGCCTCCATGTTACAGCATTGATGCAGTAATTTATGCAAAAGGAGCCACAACTAAGTATTAAGTGCACACTATACTGTACACGGACATACTTTTCAGTAAGCCAACATTTCTGTATTAAAAATCCTTTTTTTCATTGGTCTTATTTTTTATTCTAATTTTCTGAGATACTGAATTTTGGGTTTTCACTAGCTGTAAGCCATAATCATCAAAATTAAAAGAAGTGCTTGAAATATATCAGTCTGTGTGTAATGAATCTATACAATATATGGTTTCACTTTTTGAATTGAATTACTGAAATAAATTAACATTTTGATGATATTCTAATTTATTGAGATGCACCTGTATGTTGTGCTCTTATAAATAGTACAGGAACATTACTCTCCTTATGCACTCTCCTTATTTTTAACCATGTGGCACGTTACTTCTACTTTCTACTTTCAAAGTGAATTAAAATGTTTTATAAAAAGTTTGTATATATTGCAAGCAGGGAAAAAAAGAATATCACAGCAGCATGCATGAATAATATCACTATTAGAGCAAAATAAGAAAACTAGATAAAAATGAAAAGGATTGCACAGACGATTTTGAATTACTACACTACTATTTTATCAAGCAAATATCTCTAGTAGTGCAGCAATTAATAACTATTTAAAGAAACTGTGATATCTCAAAGCAGCACAATACTGAGCAGTACTTAAGATCACAGGAGTTCAAGATGCAAGATATAACCTAAAGACATATTCTTTTATGAACTCATGTAGAACACAATAACATTCCTGTGACAGCAGCACTAAAACAGTGGAGGATGTGAAGGATAGAAGTTTATTGGAGACTTTTCATTTAACTGCAAATGGGACCATGACTGGCTGACTGCCATCTATTTCCAGGTGATGTCATGTGTTACAAAGGAGATCAATTACTATTGCCACAGGGAATATCTATTGTATATAAGGCTGTGAATATTATTTGCAGAAATGCTCTACTAGAATAAGTACCGAAAAAAAAACCCCACATGATATAGGGTCCAATAGAATACATATTTTTACTTACTTTTCCACTGTGTGGGGGAAGGCTGCATATAGCTCAGGGAAAAAGATCAGTTCTAGAACCGTGGAACACACTGTTCTGCATTTTTGCATCATAAGGCAGGTAATTCAGAAAATAAGAGTATTGACAGTTATAGGTATTTAGCCTGTGGGGAATCCATACGTAGAAAATGAATTTCAGAATGAAAACCATGGCTACACTGCATGTAATTTGTATTCTCTGAATCAGTTTAAATACACACTGTTCAAGTGTGAATGGCATTTGCCTTTAAAGTATTTTTATCTTTTCCATAACTTTTGATAAAAAGTTAAAATTTACCTACATAAGCAATAGAGCTGTCTGGTCTGTTTAGGTTGCAAATTGTGGGTGTAGGTGTTTACAATAGCTGGTGGAGTGGATCATGACATTACCATTTTGTTTACATGCCTGGAAAATGGAAAGGTTCCCTGTAAA